TGATTGGTTGAGACTTTGGAATACAATAACTCTCCTAATCGAGGTAGAATGCTCAAAATTGGTGTAGGCTTTCATTAGGTGAATGCCTTGGGAGTTATGATACAGTGCGCACGTGCTAACCATTCAGCCATCCAACCCCCCACAAGGCCGAATGGTATCATAAGATCTGTCTTTCAGTCAACTGGGGTGGTTTCGATTCCCGGGTTGTAGGTGACGAGGAGTAGGGTCGTCTGTCCAACCTCGTGGGTTTTCTCCGGTTTCCTCCCACTGATAAAGAAACCCTACGTGCAAGCGTATTATTGAAATAAAATTGAACCGTATGTTAGTCCTGAAATGACCTAGTTTGTGTGAGTGGAGTTAAAACTCTCTCTCTCCCTCTCACTCACAGGGGTGGACTGCAGTTATTAACAAAATTACAATTTTGTCTTGTGGGTGCCCCATGGGCCTTTCGAAGAAAGCAGGAGATTATTAAAATGAGTTTGTCTGTCCGTCACACTTTTTGGGACACAATAACTCTAATTGAGCTAGAATGTTCAAACTTGGTGTAGGTGTTTGTTAGGTCAATGATTTGATCGAATTAGATGAGCATTTTCTGCTCAGGGTAAGCAGAGATAAGCAATTTGATTGGTTGATGCTTTGGGGCACGATAACTTTAGTTCTAATTGAGAGTGATGAAACTTGGTGTATTGTTTCATTACATCAATACCTTGACTAAGTTCGATAATGGGCATTTTCTGCTCAGGGCAAACAGAGTGATAAGCAATTTGATTGGTCGAGACTTTGGAACACAATAACTCTCATTCTAATTGAGGTAGAATGTTCACACTTGGTGTAGGTGTCTATTAGGTGAATGCCTTGATGGAGTTCGAAGATAAGAATTTTCTGCTTAGGGTAAGCAGAGATAAGCAGTTTGATTGATGGATGCCTTGGGACACAATAACTTTAGTTCTAATTAAAGGACAATATTGGTGCCAGTCATTATCACATATGTGGTAGAGCTGGTTAAACACATTTCAAATATAATTTTAACAGAGATCATTGCTACGATAGCTGAGTAATACAGGTTTTCTGAATCGGAAGTGACGAACGCCAAAGGAAAACACGAGTCATACGTCTATATAACTGACTGATGTGACGAGTGATAACAGATACACGCCGAATTTCTGCTCACTAACAATTCCTTCCAAGACCAAAAGTTATATGGGACTGTAAGAGGATACCTGACAATTCAATAAAGTAATTGAATGTTATTAGATAAGAGAACACGAGAAAAATAGAAATAGTCCGTACATTCCCTTGTTTATATTCATTCTGTACCTTATAAAAACATGGTAATGCACTGACTTTTTCTGTTTGGAACACAATAACTCTCCTAATTAAGGTAGAATTTCAAACTTGGCGTACATGTTTATTAGGTGAATGGTTAAACTTGATGTAGATGTTCATTAGGTGAATGATTAACATTTCGACCTGATGCTAAGCAGAGCTAATCAATTTCATTTGTGGATGGTTTGGGACAAGATAATCTTGATTCTATCTGATAGATTGATGAAACTTAGTGTATGGTTTGATTGCTCGATACTTTTGAAAAAAATAAATGTGCGATTAATTAATGTGTCATCTAATTATTTTGGGATTTCGGCGGGGGACATCAGCCTCACTGTTGGCTTGTTTAGTTTTCATATATATATACACCAAATCTGCCATATTTTTATCCGATTTCAATGAAACTGGAAATATAGGCTTATCACCTACGATTTCAGTTCCTTTCAATATTGGCATGTATCCGACTGTAACTTCATGGATTATGGCCCCTCATTGTACAAAAAATCACGTATTTAGCTTGTGAACACTGTAGACGTCACAATTTTTTATCCGATTTGGTTTAAACTTGAAATGTATGTTTATAACCCACAGATCTCGATTCCTTTCGATATTTGTGCATATTGGACCATAACTTCCTGAAATATGGCCCCTGATTGTATGAAAATCGCGTTTTTAGCTTGTGGACCCAAAAGTGGTCACAATTTTTATCCGATTTAAAAAAACGTTTGAATATATCACCATTGCACCCCTCAGATGGTTGAGTTTCGATTTTTGTAAAAATCGGACCAAAAGTGACAGACAAAATGGCCGCCCCTCGTTCACAAATGTCAAAATATTGTATATCAGGGTTTTGGACCCTCTGGAGGTCACAATTTTCATCTGACTTGGATGAAAATTGAAATGCATGTTTATAACCCAAATATCTTAATTTCTTTCGAATTCGTACGTTTCGAATCGTAACCTCTTAAATTATGGTCCCTGATTATACGAAAATTGCATGTTTAGCTTGTGGTCCCGCTAGAGGTCACAATTATTATCCGATTTAAAAAAAAAAAAGTTTGAATAGATATCCATTTTCTTTCAATATTTGCGCATATTGGACCATAACTTCCTGAATTGTGGCCCCTGATTGTATGAAAATGGTGTTTTTAGCTTGTGAACACTATAGAGGTCACAATTTTTATCTGATTTAAAAAAACGTTTGAATATATCACCGTTGCACCCCAAGAATGGCTGAGTTTCGAATTTCGTAAAAATCGGACTGAAAGTGATGGACAAAATGGCCGCCCCTCGGTCACAAATAATGTCAAAATATTGTGTATCAGGGTTGTGGACCCTCTGGAGGTCACAATTTTCGTCTGATTTGGATGAAACTTGAAATACATGTTTATAACCCAAATATCTTGGTTCCTTTCGAATCTTGTACATTTCGAATCGTAACCTTCTGAATTATGGCCCCTGATTGTACGATAATTGTGTGTTTAGCTTATTACCCGATTTAAAAAAAAAAAAAAATGTTTGAATATATCTATTACACAGTACTGTTTGAGTTTGAATTTCATGAAAATCGGACCAAAACTGCCGGACAAAATGGCCGCCCCTCGTACGCAAATAGTGTAAACATCTGGTAAATCAATGTTGTGGACCCTCTATATATTACCATTACACACAAAGTTCTTGGTTCCTTTGATAATTCAAAAGCCCAGTATAGGGGTAGGACGTTAAACCCCATTTCATTTCATTTTGATAATCGCGGATACCCAAACTTAACTTCCTGATAATTCAAAAAATTGCTTTTTGTCCCCCGCCTTTCGAAGAAAGCAGGGGACTATTAAAATGGGTTCGTCCGTCTGTCTGTCTGTCTGTCCGTCTGTCTGTCCGTCACACTTTTTGGGACACAATAACTTTCTTCCTAATTGAGCTAGAATGTTCAAACTTGGTGTATGTGTTTATTAGGTCAATGCCTTGATGGAGTTCGAAGATGAGCATTTTCCGCTTAGGGTAAGCGGAGATAAGCAATTTGATTGGTTGATGCTTTGGGACACGATAACTCTCTTCCTAATTGGGCTAGAATGTTCAAACTTGGTGTATGTGTTGATTAGGTCAATGCCTTGATGGAGTTCGAAGATGAGCATTTTCCGCTTAGGGTAAGCAGAGATAAGCAATTTGATTGGTTGATGCTTTGGGACACGATAACTTTTAATTGAGCTAGAATGTTCAAACTTGGTGTATGTGTTTATTAGGTCAATGCCTTGATGGAGTTCGAAGATGAGCATTTTCCGCTTAGGGTAAGCAGAGATAAGCAATTTGATTGGTTGATACTTTGGGGCACGATAACTCTCTTCCTAATTGAGCTAGAATGTTCAAACGTGGTGTATGTGTTGATTAGGTCAATGCCTTGATGGAGTTCGAAGATGAGCATTTTCCGCTTAGGGTAAGCAGAGATAAGCAATTTGATTGGTTGATACTTTGGGGCACGATAACTCTCTTCCTAATTGAGCTAGAATGTTCAAACTTGGTGTATGTGTTGATTAGGTCAATGTCTTGATGGAGTTCGAAGATGAGCATTTTCCGCTTAGGGTAAGCAGAGATAAGCAATTTGATTGGTTGATGCTTTGGGACACGATAACTTTAGTTCTAATTAAGTGAGATTGATGAAACTTGGTGTATAGTTTCATTACAGTAATACCTTGACTAAGTTTGATAATGAGCATTTTCTGCTCAGGGTAAGCAGAGCGATACGCAATTTGATTGGTCGAGACTTTGGAAAACAATAACTCTCCTACTTTGATTGTCCCCCGCCTTTCGAAGAAAGCAGGGAACTATTAAAATGGGTTCGTCCGTCTGTCTGTTTGTCTGTCCGTCCGTTCCGCTTATGGTAAGCAGAAAAAACAAATTGAAAAAGAAACTATTATAAATTAATTAAATATGTAGTATGCAATAATGAATTGACATTTAATGACAGAAAGAAAACAGTGAACTTTGCACAACTTGCAGCAAGATGGAAAATAGACCCGTTGATACAACCAAACTCTAGATCTGTAGGCATAGAGCATGTTTTCCCCTTAATATGCTATAATTATTCCATCAAAAACATTGTATGCTTAGACTATAAGTAAAGATATACTGTTTGATTGTTCAATACTTTGTAAAAGATTTGTGATAAATTTATATGTGTCCTCTAATTATTTTCCTATTTCGGCGGGGGACATCAGCCTCACTGTTGGCTTGTTTAGCTTGCGGATTCTCTTGAGGTCACAATTTTTTTCTGATTTTAAAAAAAAAATTTAAATACATCACCATTCCACTATAATGAAGGTTTAATTCGAATTTCGGGAAAATCGAAATGAAACTGCCCGACAAAATGGCCTCTCTTTGTACGCGAAGTGTGTAATACAAAGGTTATGGACCCTGTAGAGGTCACAATTTATATCCCAAAGATCTGTTCCTTTTGATATTTGCACATTTCAGGCCACAAGTTTCTGGATTATTGCCCCTGATTGTACAAAAAAAATTGTTTGGTTTTAGCTTGTTCTCTATCCATCTCTTGCAAAATGTGGGCGTATCCTGCCTGGCAGCCGCTGGTTATTGGAAATAATTACCCTATAAATTGTGGGTATGTACTAATAAAGGATTAATTTAATGTTCTGTGATTTTTTTTTTTTTTTTTAAAGGTCGTCTTAGCAAAGAAGAAATTGAGAAAATGGTTAATGATGCTGAAAAATACAAGTCTGAAGATGAAAACCAAAGGAATAGAATATCTGCTAAGAACAGTCTAGAAAGTTATGCTTTTAATATGAAGACAACTGTAGAAGATGAGAAAATGAAAGATAAGATTAGTGAAGATGACAAGAAAGCTATTGTTGATAAATGTAATGAAGTAATAGCATGGATGGACGCCAACCAATTGGCTGAAAAAGATGAGTATGAGCACAAGCAAAAGGAAGTTGAAGGTGTATGCAACCCAATCATTACCAAATTATACCAAGGTGCAGGTGGTGGTGCTCCTGGAGGAATGCCCGGCGGTATGCCAGATTTTGGTGGGACTGGAGCCGGGGCAGCTGGAGCAGGAGGTACTGGAGGATCTGGACCTACTATTGAAGAAGTTGATTGAATAACATTTCTAGTTTAAATCAAATTATGTCAAGTGCTTTCAACATTTCATCATTATCCCATAATGTATCATTCAGTTCAAACAAAATCTCCGTAAGACACTTTTTTTTTGTGATAATGAAGCAAAGTTTGTTTTGCAATCAATGTTATCTTTTGGGTATTCTATAAACTGGAATTAAACTTTTCAACATTCAGTGTTTAATTATTGGATTAAATGCTGTGAAAGCAATAAGAAAAACAACTAGGGTTTCAGTAGATGAAAAGCTATATCACTAGCCATGCATGGGTTACTATCGAACCTGCTTTGGTTATTGTCAAAGGATATAAATGTCAGGCCAGGAGAGAGGAACAATATTTGAATTAAATAATATTTTTGACATTTTAGGCCGTAGGGCTGATTTCTCACGACTGAAAGTGGGGGGGGAGGAGGGAGTAGAAATGGGTACCAAAAAGCAAAAACTAGCTCATTTAGTAACCACACGAAACTTTTTGCAAAATGTTCAGCATATTCACATTCTACATGAATTAAGAAGGACCACTACAGTATATTTATACGTCCACATGAAAATGTGGACGTATATTGTCGTCGCCCCTATCCGTCCGTCCACAATTGTTGGTGAACACTAGAGGTAACAATTATCCGATTTCAACAAAACTTGAAAAATAGGTTTATCACCCTAAGATCTCGGTTCCTTTCGATATTGGCATGTATCGGACTGTAACTGCATGGATTATGGCCCTTGATTGTACGATAAATCACGTGTTTAGCTTGTGAACACTGTAGATGTCACAATTTTTATCCGATTTGGTTTAAACTCTAAATATGATTATAACCCAAAGATATCAGTTCCTTTCGATATTCGCGCATATCGGACAATAACTTCCTGAATTATGGTCCCTGATTGTATGAAAAATCACTTTTTTAGCTTGTGGACCCTATAGATGTCATAATTTTTATCCGATTTAAAAAAAACAAAACATTTTAGTATATCGCTGTTACACCCTAAGGATGTTCGAATTTCGTGAAAATCGGACCAAAACTGACAAAATGGCCGCCCATCGTTCTCAAATATGGTATATCAAGGTTGTGGACCCTCTAGAGGTCACAATTTTAATCCGATGTTGATAAACCTTGAAATGCATGTTTATAACCCAAAGATCTTGGTTCCTTTCGATATTCGCGCATATTGGATCGTAACTTCCTGAATTATGGCCCTTGATTGTACAAAAAGTCGCGTTTTTAGGATGTGATCCCTTTAGATGTCACAATTTTTATCCAACTTAAAAAAACGTTTGAATATATCATGGTTACACCCTTATGATGGTTGACTCCGAATTTCGGACAAATTGGCTGCCCCTCGTACGCAAATATTGTAAATATATGATATATCGAGGTTTTGGACCCTCTAGAGAGAGAGAGAGGACACAATTTTGATGAAACTAGAAATACATGTTTATAATCGAAAGATCTTGGTTCCTTTCAATATTCATGCATATCGGATCGTAACTTCCTGAATTATGGCCCTTGATTGTAAGAAAAATCACTTCTTTTTTTTTTTACCTTGTTCTCTGTCCATCTCTTGCAAAATGTGGGCGTATCTTGCATGGCAACCGCTTGTTTTAGTGTTGGAGGGAACCTAGCAAGACACAGGCATGAAACTTGTTGCTGGATATAATCTCATCTGTCAAGAATGCTCAATACAAGGCATTTCAAGTGGTGGGTACCGTCCGCAATACAACCCAAATTGCCCCATCCCCAAAAGCCAAGTGCCTGAAACTTTATGCAAGTCCATTAAAAGCTCAGGTTTTCACCTCATTAACTTCATTATTAAAGGGACATTAGGTAAAGAGCTGACTGTTCTCGCTATAATAGTTTAGAACAGTGCCGGGCATTGACCAAGGCCCACAAGTACCTGCCGAAGGCATTGACCAAGGCCCACAAGTACCTGCCGAAGGCGGTCACGAGCGCAAACGCATTTTCCAAGCAGAAGGCAAATGTTTCATTTCCTGATACAGTTAGATAACAGAATGACCTAAGAGCACTGTGACCGTAAAAGATCCCTTGGCAGTTGGAATTCTATATAAAAGTAGACTAGCGCCACTACGAGCATGTTTAGAGGCCTTTTTCTCAAAAAGGGCAATCTAATATTTTTTGGGGAACTCCTATAGAGAGCCTAATTGATATATCGGTGTATGAAAAGAGCGAGAGAAATGGGGTTTAACGTCCACTCGACACAAACATGGTTTAATTTTTTTTTTATTTCAATAATTCGCTTGCGCGTAGGGGTCTTCAGCAGTGGGAGGAAACTAGAGGACCCGGAGAAAACGCACGTGGTTAGACAGGCGACCCTACTCCTTGTCACGTACAACCGGGGAATCGAAACCCCGCCAGTTGACTCAATGACAGCCCGTATGATACAGCGCACGCGCGTTACCCCCCCCCCCTCCTCCGTATGAAACCACCGTACAACGGTCAAAAGTATGAAGAGTGGCCAAACAAATGGCACTGTATTATCGACAAAAGTCCGAAATGGTCATAATCGGAACATTCTGCATACCTATAATAATATAGAGAGCTATTTTTCAAAGTGGCAATATTTGAACTAAGGCTGTTTAACTGTTAACCAATATCTGGCACCGGTACTTCTACAGTGAAAATATTTCATATTAGTAAATAACAGTTGCTCCTGGAATTAATATCCCAGTTTTTTTTTTTGTGTACGTCATCTCTTTATACCATTTAAAATAAAGCTCCCTGCTGCTGCTATTTATAAGGAAGTCGCCCCTCTGTATGTAGAAAGAAAAGTTGATGTTGATAATTATTATTTAGGGTTTTAGTTGTTATCTGAGAAATAAAATGTTTTTGTCCAATTCGGAAAACTGTTTTTTTTTATCCCATTTACAATTCGTATAGATCTCTGAAACTAACAGAGTTCTGAATATTGATTTTTCCCTTGTTTTTAGCAATTATTTCTTATAACTATCGCGAAAGTTGTGAACAGACCGGAAGTGTTGTAAATCTTTAACATGCACGAAAATTGAAAACCGGCCCTAATTATGTCAATTCCCAACCGGTTTTCGAAAAAGTTATATTTTTGTACAGCTGGGGATATTGCGGATGCGATAACGACTGAATCGAGATACCATGTCGTCCTCATTTTTTCTTCAAAATTTGAAAATTTACTAAAATTGTTATTTCTTGGAATGTTGAGTTTTCAATTACATATTTGGATTGCCGGCGTCTGTCCGATTCTACCGATCTAGGATTATCATGATGTGAATTGTTAAACTCTATTTTTCAATTCCCTTCTCTATCGTAATGCGCATGCAAAGAACGTGTCAATATCTCAGTTATGCAAGTAGGTGATTTTATTGGGGGTGGGTGGGGGGGTGGCGGGAATAGTCTCTTGTCATGCATCTGGCGACCGTGTGACTCCTTGGCTAGGGTGAAAGCCTCCAGTCTTGCAAGCAAGTCTAGTTATTTTTGTATTTTTCTTAACATTATATATAATTTTAATACCGAACCAGTATTTCAATCATGCCAAAATCATTTTCATCTGTATTATGTATATATTTCTCTGGGATATTGTTTCATTGAAATAGTTTTGAAAAAAAATACTTGTTTCCAGAAAATAACAGATTCATTCAATCATTGGTGCGCTATTTTCCTATTCACCATATTTATGCCACAGATCAGGGGTTAGTCGTCTTCACCGTGTCAATGCAACATTTAACTGGTGGTCTGACAAATGTAAACAAGCTAACGTGTCTCGTAAAAGGTGTGCGTGTGGAAAAGCTTTATTTAACATCCGCTTCCACCGAGTACGGCCACACCACTTTGAAAACACCAGTATTCCCTGGTCTATTTATGGCTATTGACCCGTGACCCTATGACGTTGTTTGCTTTTATGGTTAAAATTTGATTTTTTCACCCCATTATGGCTACACTTGACAAATATAGTTCAAGGCGTATTCCCTGGTCTATTTATGGCTATTGACCCGTGACCCTATGACGTTGTTTGCTTTTATGGTTAAAATTTGATTTTTTCACCCCATTATGGCTACACTTGACAAATATAGTTCAAGGCGTAATTCGAGTTCTAGATTTATTGTGCAATGCATCGGAAAAGAAATGTTTACGACAGTGACGGCCTACTGGTTTACTTATGCAACAAAGCGTCAGATTTTCACCCGGAATTTGCTGGGACGAGATGAAACGATTTCCGGGGCTAACCTAGCCTATAACCCCGTTTACATTACAAATTTTAAGCGTGCTAGGAACGGTACGGTTAATTTTGTTTGTAGTTAAAACGGGTCAAACATAAGCGTGCCGTACTGAAATGAGGTGGTCTCGGCATGGTACCGGGAGCAGCGCGGTTAAATTTCCTTAGTGTAAACGCTATTCTGAGCTCGGTTTCAGTACGAATAACTGGGCATGCGCGAAACGAACCTTGACCTCTTTCCCCGCAAACTTTGAGAGTTCTGTCAAAATGGCTGCTCAAACTAAATCAACCATAATAATTGTTTTCATCTGTGTAATTTGTATAGGGACTGGAATTAACTATTCTGTGAATAGTTCCAAATTTGGCGTGCTTGGCACGGTTCTGAGACCGGTTATTTTAGAGTAATGTAAACGGGTCAATTTATCGCGGCCAAGTATAAACAGGGCTTATGATATAGCAATACTGCAAATATTGGTAGATAAGTGTAGAAACAGATTTCTCCGTAAGAAAATCTTAGAGGAAATCATATCACGGGAAGCCAGTGTCCATAACGGCGTGAGCCGACTCCTACAACTGCGCATGCGCTAAACGGTAATCACACACCGGCTTGTCACCAAACCAATCTACCAAGACAATTTCCGCAGTTTACGATTTCTTGGAATTTCATCGCGAAGGTATGACTGACAGACTTAAACATACATTATGCAAAAGCTAAATCTGCCTATTGCTGATCTTAGGCCCGAAATGTTTAGGCTACTAATCAACTCTCGATGTCACCGCTAGCCTGCGATATTTACTAGATTTGAATACATTTTATGATGGATGATGTAACGCCAAGATATGCTGCCAGGCAACGAAACACGCCCACGGCAGCTAAATCGTCAGAACCGGTCGACAAGGGTTGTCGCATATTTTATTCCTTTGTAGGTAATTGGGGGCCTTTACAAAACAGTTCCATACAGATCAGATTA